GGTTTCAAGTGTCACATAATCAATGAGTCAATATTTACTTACAATTCTCACTTGTATATGTAATATTAAATTTGAGAATAACGTGCACAACAAAGTAGAATAAATAAGCATACATGTTTTTTCTATTTTATACTAATTCAAATGAATTCAATAATTACACAAATGACGTCGGATAGGACACTAAAATCCAACATCGTTATCCATTACTCACTGCAGCTTTACATATGAGCAACTCACTCTATCAATTTCCCTCCTCAAAACCTCTACCACAATTTTAAGAGCATTGTTCATATGATTTTATTATGTCGATGGTCTAGTCGATGAGGTCTTAAATTTTATTTTTGAGCTCAAATCTCGTAGAGTCCAACTTTAAGATGTGTGCCTCTATCACCTCAAGTTATCTATCACATTATTCATGGATGCCTCGAGTCGGATCACATTCTCTTTCAATAAGAAATATAAATGGGGACTAAATTGAATTAATTAGAAATTTAAGGGTAAATTTACAATAGGTGACCAAAATGAACTACATATCAAACCTTCAGGGACTGCGGAAATAATTTAACTATTTCATAATTGCACAATGACCCTCCCTATATATAGCCCTTAAAATCCAAAATATCATTCATTTTCACTCATTTCTCAAAATCAAAGCCCTCTCCCTTCTCTCTAAACTCTATCTCCACTTCCCAACCGGTCTATGGACGGTCGTTCTTCGGTGTAGCCCTATCGCCACCAGCCGCCGCACTAGCCACCACCTCTGGTGCCTGAAAAACCTAAAACCACCCAAAATATTCTTCTCTAAGCCCCGAACCCAAAATCGAAGCCAAAATAGCTTAAAAACAACCACAATGACATAGATCTAAAAGTAAAACTTTCGATTTTTACCTTTTTACGAAGCTTTTCGTTCTCCCGACGGTCGTTCTCCTTCTGATGCTAGACAGACGATTACTTTAACACTGTTTTTTTTTTTGCTTGACTTTGCTATGCTATCTATTCGTATTTTGGTTGTTGTTTTCGGGCATTCTCTTCGATTTATTTTTATGTGTGTTTGTTGTGATTTCTCTCGTGTTTCTCTGATGAATCCCCTTATCGGGGTTATTTTCCCTCTAAATCAGAGATGGGTCAGTCCTAATTTTTGTGGGATTTTGGTTCGTTGTTGCACGTTTGGTTATGGCCAATTTTTCGGCATTGGTTGCTGAGCAACGGGGGAGATTTCCTCCAATTTGCTCCTTGATTTTCGACCTTGCTGGTGTGTGGCCTCTACACACGCCACTATCGGCTGCTTGGTCTCCCTCGTACGGTGTTTATATTATTTTAGGGTTTATGAAACCCTAATTATTTTGGGCTAGGTCAGGCCCTCTCTTCCTTTGCTAGATTCCCATCGAATTTGTTGGGTCAGGCTACTCGGTTGGGCTTTAGATTGGGACTATTCCCATCCCAGATTGGACCTAAAAATTAAATAATAAATAAATAAATAAATAAAATAGAAAATAGAAAATAAAATAAAATATTATGTATATATCTCGAAAAATATGTTTTCAAAGCTATATGTTTTCCAAAAAAAATCATTTTTAAAAACTATATATTATATGTTTTCAAAAACCATTTTAAAAACTATTTACTATATGTTTTCAAAAATATTTTTAAAAAACTATATATTATATATTTTCAAAAAAAATACATTTTCAAAAACTATATTATATATACGTTTTCAAAAATATTTTAAAAACTACATATTATATGTTTTGCAAAACCGATTTTAAAAAATATATATATTATATATGTTTTCAAAAAATGTTTTCAAAACTATATATTATATGTTTTCAAAAACTGTCTTCAAAACCATATTATATATATATATATATATATATTTTCAAAATATGATTTTTTTTAAAAAAACTATATATTATGTTCTTTCAAAAACTTTTTTAAAAAACTATATATTATATATTTTCAAAAACTGTCTTTTAAAACCTTTATATCATATGTTTTCAAAACCATTTTTAAAAACTATATTTTATATGTTTTCAAAAAATATTTTTGAAAACTATACTATATATCTTCAAAAACTATATATATTGGATATTTTTGAAATTATTATATATATATTATTATATATACTAAATAAGCCCTTTGAAGTCCCGAACGAAAATGGGTATCTAAAGCTGCCCCTCTTTGCCCATTATTGTGTAATGAAAATATGACAAAGACAAAAGGACACAAATTTTCGTTCAGTATAAGTGGGCTTGAAAGCAAGTATGTTCATGTGAGGGTTGTCGATCTCGGAGTTTAAAATTTGACTCAATATTGCAGTCAAAACTTTTATCAACTATCCTCTGATGCGGAGTTAAGATTGCGGGTGACTCCTTCATCATAAAGTTGAGTCTATCTTGAGATGTCTTTGAATACGATATATTTTTTCATGAAATTGAGTCAATCGAGCACCTCGAGATATCCTTCGATGTGAAGTTGAAATCTAACTCGATGTATGGAGTAGGCAGAAAATCTTCGTCTTCTTCTTCAAGCCCAATACCCTTCGTTGTGAAGTTGGAATTTGACTAAATGGCCTTAGTTGAGGGATAGTTCTTCCTTGTTATATATTACTCATTCGTTGTGAAGTTAAGTCAATCTATTGGGGACGATATCTTTTAAAGTGAAGTTGAAATCGTGGGTGACTCCTCCATCGTGAAGTTGAGTCTCGATTGAATATATTTGCCTTGGGACAGACATCCTTCATTGTGAAGTGGAAATCCAACTTGGATAGGTTGTATTGTTTTTAATCTTGAGCTTTCTCCGAGTTCAATATTCTTGAAAAAAAAAACAAATCTGCAAAATTATGCATATATGTGGTGCTATGGATGTAATGTTCTTATGTATGCCTAAAATGAATATGTAATATATGTTATTTTAGGGTTTAGAGAGAAATTGCAATCTCTTGCTGTCATGTCGGATGACTCTTGATTCTTGAATCTTGAATTCCTGATCGTTGATCTTGGATTCATCAATGGTCTTTGATCTGATATACACTCTGGGAACTTGCAAAAAGAAGTTTTACTTCTAGTCTTGATTTAGACAATGCCTTTTTATTTTCAAAGAACTAGCCTTCAAGTCATTATTTCGATTATGGTGCAAGAACCTTTATTAGCTTCCTGGCACCTGTATTTTCAGGAAATCTTTGTGCAGTAATACGCAATGATCTTTTCGAGAAAGTGAATAAATTATTCTTATTTAAATTCAATGGAAGATACTTCAAAAGAATTAATTTTCATTTCTAGAAACAACAATATTTATTTATGAGGGTGAAAATGAATACATGGCAAACATTCTAAAAAGCCAAGATATATAGGAATACAAGTACATGCCCTAAATCTTGATAATGCAAACGCTTTTGAACTGGTGCACTGTTAAGTGACTTTTGAGTGTAGCTTTTGTCAAGGGGACTTCGAAGATGTGACAATGTTTGGAAGAGCACATAGTTCCCCCCAAATTACTAAATTTCCTATAGATTTGAACGTCACGATGTTTTATTGCCTTGATCCGAGACCTTCCTATGCGTGAATCCTGGATCGTTATCCAAGTTGCCCTTCTCAGGTTTTCAACTTGGATACTCCCTTGGTTTCAAGATGCCCTTTGTGAGCTTTCATCTTGGATCCATCTTATTTTTTTTGTTTTTTCATTTTTTTCAAATTTAGAGCGCCCTTTCAGATTTTCACTCTAATTTTTTTTTTTAATTTCAACTTAGGGCACCCTTATGGGTTTTCACCTTAAGCGAAATATTTCTTCACTGCGTCATAATTAACGGGATTAGGTAATTCAGGCATGTCCATTTCAGTCAAGATCAGATCTTTTAGCATCCACTTTCCTCTGAAGTCTTTTTAGATTGGCCAGATCTTTTTCAGTACAAGATCTCCTTCATGGAATACTCTGGGGCGCAAATTCTTATTGTGTGCTTGGATCATTCGTCTTTGTTAAAGTTGACCATGGTGAATAGCTTTCAACCTTTTTTCTTCTATTAGGTTTAATTGATCATATCGAGTTTGCATCCATTCTGTATCATCAAGTTTAACTTCTGAAAAAACCTGGACCGACGGGATCTCCACCTCAATGGGAAATACTACCTTCATCTCAAATGCTAATGAAAATGGGGTTACCCCAATCGAAGTTCGTACCAAAGTTCGATAAGCGAACAAAGAAAAAGATAATTTCTCGTGCCAATCCTTGTATGTCTTATACGTTTTCTCCACTATTTTCTTGATATTTTTGTTTTCTTCTTCTACCACTCCATTCATCTTCGGTCTATAAGTAGTAGAGTTGTGATGCTTTATGTTAAATTATTCACAAGTAGCATACATCATCTTGTTGTTCAAGTTTGTTGCATTATCGGTACTGATTCTTTCAGGTAAACCATACCGACATATGATCTCCTTTTTCAAGAACTTGTAAATAGTGGACTGAGTGACACTGGCATATGATGCATCTTCCACCCATTTGGTAAAATAGTCAATTGCTACAAGAATGAACCGATAACCATTTGAAGCTTTTGGATGGATTTGTCCAATGAAATCCATGCCCTACATAGGAAAGGACCATGGTGCCATCAACACGTGAAGAGGGTGAGGTGGAACATTTATTTTATCCCCATAGATTTGACACTTATGACATCTTCTAGCATAGTTGATGCAGTCACTCTCCAATGTGGACCAAAAGTATCCACATCTCATAACTTGTTTTTCCATCATATTTCCATTTGCATGTGTTCCACGAACTACATCATGTACTTCCTCTATTATTATGTTTTCTTCTTCTGTATCTACACATCTTAACAAGACTTGATCATGGTTTTTCTTTTACAAGAATTCTCCATCAAGAAAATATCCGGCCGTCGTACTTTTGATTGTTCTTTTGTCAACTTCGATGGCTTATTCTACATAGCTTTGATTCTTAAAGTATTGCAGAATGTCGTGGTACCAAGGTTTGGTATCTTTTATCCTTTTGATTTAGTAACAATGAGTTGGGTATTCATATGACTGCATGTCAGATTCCCCGCCAGCTTTAAATACTGCTACCAAGGTAGCTAAGGCATCGGTCATTTGGTTTTCTCCTATATGCACATAGTGGAAAGTGACTTCGTCAAACTTTTTGAGTAGATCTAATACAAGCTTTCTGTATTACAACAGTTTAACATCTTTCATCTCCCACTCTCCTCGGAGTTGATAGATCACTAAGGAAAAATCTCCATATACCCGCAAAGTCTTTATATTTTGTCCAATAACAGCTCAAATCCATAAAAAACAATCTTCATACTCTGTCATGTTATTAGTGCTGTCAAAGTTCAATCTGCTAGTGAAAGGGTAATGATTTTCTTCAAGTGAAACCATTATAGCCCCAATGACGTGTCCTAATGCATTTGACGCACCATCAAAATGTATTTTCCAGGAATCACATGTGGAAGTACTTATTTCTTCTAGAGATATGGCCATCAAATCTTCATCTGAGAAATCAAAGTCCAGTGGCTCGTAATTTTCAGAAGCTCTGCTTGCCAAGAAGTTCGATATGGCACTTCCCTTTATAGCCTTTTGACTTACGTATTCAATGTCAAATTTTGATAATAGCATCTTCCATCGGGCTAATATTCCAGAGAGAGTAGGCACACCCATCATGTATTTTAGCGGATCTAACTTGGAAATCAACCAAGTGGTATGGTACAACATGTATTGTTTGAGCCTTCGTGTAGGCCAGACTAAAGCGTATCAAACTTTTTCAATAGGTGGATGTCTAACATCGCAATCGGTGAACTTCTTGCTTAAGTAGAAAATATCTCTTTTTTTCTTCCAGACTCATCATGTTAGCCAAAGACACGTCCTATTGAATTCTTAAAGATGGATAAATAGAGAAATAGAGGTTTGCCCGGGATGGGAGACATTAAGACATGAGTGCGAGACAAATACTCTTTTATTTTCTCAAATTCAGTCTGACAGTCCTCATCCCATGTTCCATAATTGCTCTTTCGAATAAGACAGAAAATTGGATCACATTTGTCTATCAACTGTGATATGAACTGGGCGATGTAGTTTAGTCAACCCAGAAAACCTCTAACTTCTTTCTGGGTTCGTATCTGAATGGCCTTGACTTTGTCTAGATCAACCTTAATACCCTTTTTGCTAACAATGAAACCTAATAGCTTTCCAGATGTTACTCCGAAGCTATATTTGTTGGGATTCAGTCTCAACTAGAACTTTCTCAATCTTTGGAAGAGTTTTCTCATATTATCAACATGTTCATCTTCAGTTTCTGCCTTGACAATCATGTCATTGACATAAACTTCAATCTCTTTATGCATCATGTCATGAAATAAGGTCACCATAGCTCTTTGGTATATTGCCCCAGCATTCTTTAACCCAAAGGGCATCACCTTGTAACAAAATGTACCCCACATTGTGATAAATGTGGTTTTATCCATGTCATCTGGATGCATTTTAATCTGGTTGTATCATGAGAATCCGTCCATGAATTAGAAGAAAACATTTCCCGCCGTGTTGTCCACTAGAGTGTTTATATGTGGAAAGGGGAAGTTATCTTTAGGATTTGCCTTATTGAGGTCTCAGTAATTGACGCACATGTGCACTTTCTCATTCTTTTTTGGCACCGACACTATGTTAGCCACCCATTCTGGATACTTGGCTACTTAAAGAAAGCCATCATCAAACTTTTTCTTGACTTCCTATTTTATTTTAAAGAGCATTTTAGGTATCATCTGCTTTAGTTTTTGTTGTACATGTTTGCATTCTGGTTTGATGGGAAGTTTGTGGACTACTATATCCGTATATAGCCCAGGCATATCTTGATACGACCATGCAAACATATCTTTGTGTTCCTGAAGCAAGTCTATCAATCTTTGCCTTGTTTCCAATGAAAGTGTCATGCCAATTTTAACTTCCTTCTTTTCCTCTTCCGTGCCCAAATTCAAGACCTCGATTTTCTCCTCATGTGGAACTTTTTGTATGTCATCTTTCTCCACAATTCTTAATAATTTAGAAGGTAAGTTGCACTCTTCTTCATTGTCACATTCATCAATTTCCCCAAGATAACTGAGCTGCTCAAAATCCACCTCTGTGTCAGAATTATCATTATCTGCATCATTAATATCTGAGGACCTGAAAGGGAAAGGAGAAGAGAAATGTGTATATGCGGGAGGAAAGTATTCCAAATGGAAATGAAAAAAATTAAATACGAAATAAAGAAAGAAAAATAAGGAATAAATGTTTGTCGGAAAAGAAACTGTATCTTTTATTGAAATATGAATAAAAGCAATTTATTAGCCCTTACAAAAGATCACCTATTGCCCCGAGTATAGTTAAATATGGAAAGTGTGAGTATTACTCTGAAAGATATTTGAAAACCACAGGTAGTTCTTCAGTAGTCCAGTTGTTAAGCAGAAAGTGGACGGATCCTAGTCCTATCACTGTCGTCAATGTCATCTGTTGTTATGACATTGATGCTCAAGTCATTCAAACCTTCTTCTATATCAGGTAAGGCTATCATTTATTCTTCCTCAAATGCATAACCACCAAACATGAATGTGTTGTGAAGAGTAGGAAAAGACATCGACTCTCTTTTAATTTTCTCTCTAATCAATCTTGCCCTTCTTCTGTCTTGGCACTTCTGAATCTCTTTTTCCTTTGTTCATGACTAGGTTGAAATCTGAGTCTGAACTGGTCTAGCTTAACAATAAGAAAGACGGGTCTAACTCTTCCTTGTAAATAACTCCCAAAACCTCTTCCTATCTTTTCACCTCTTTCCAAAGTTTGCTTGATTTCCATCTTGGTGCATTCCGAGAGTCTGGGTTTGGAAATCTTTCCCCTTTCAGCCACAAATGTAGCATTAACAAATTCCAAAGAGCAGAATGAACACTCTAAGGCTTCCTCATTTATATCTATGTATGGGGCGTCAATGGTCATACTCACCACTATATTCTATTCAACATTAATGATTATCATAGTTTCATCGATGAAAAACTTGACTTTTTGGTGCAGTATTGATGGTACTACCCAGCTTGATGGATCCACGGCCTTCCCAGAAGGCAGTTGTAAGAAGACATAATGTCCATCACTAGGAACTCTATATTATAAATGGCAGGCCCAATGGTAAATGGTACCTTAATTTTGCTGAACACTTCTCACTTTATCCCATCGAATGCTCAAACCACACTCTGGCATGTTCTCATGTGGGAAGTATCCATTGGTATACTTTTCAGAGTAACCAAAGGCATCACATTAAGGGTAGATCAATTGTCAATTAACATACTTGACAAGGCGTACCCCTTGCAATAAGTGGTGATGTGTAATGCTTTAGCTCGACCTGATCCTCCAGATGGAATCTCATCATTAGAAAATAAGATGAGATTATCAACTTGGATGTTGTTAACCAGTCGATCCATCTTGTTGACCGGTATATCTTTTGGCACAAGTGTCTGATTTAAGACTTTCAAAAGTGCCTCTTTGTATGCCTCTGCAATTAGAAACAGTGCCAACATTGAAATACGTGTTAACAGGCTATGTAATTATTCCATGATGTTGTACTCACTATTTGTTAGAAATTCCAGGGACTCCACAGCCTCTTCTTCCTTTATTGGCTCGTTTACTGCTAGCACGTCCTCTTTAAATGGCTCAAGTGGTCTTTGGGGTAAGTTAGACTTTTAGGAGTAGTACTTCTCAACAATATGCCCCACTTCGTTGACATCTTCCTTCAACGTGCTTACTTGACATTCATACTTCCAAGGCACTTGTTTGTTATTCTTGTAAGGAAAAGATCTTGGTGCCACTATCACCACCTTTTCATGTGCTTTATCTGCTACCTTTACTTTAGGGATGATTACCAAATGATAACCCATATCATATCCTCTTTCGGATGAATCTACGGTCACAAAAATATCATTTTCTAGAGTGTCCTGAACTTTCTCGTAGAATTCCAGCTCATTAATATCCATCATGAGCTGGATTAAAGCTTTAAACTCTGAACAATCTTGCACATCATGTCCTTATTCATTGTTGTAACAACAATTGTTACAATCTTCACATTCTGGTGTTTTAGAATGTGGTGAAAGGAATCCTTCTTTTACCATCTTCATCCATACCCAGTCTAGTGGAGACGTTATTTTATAAACACTTGTTTTGACCCTCTTACTCATCTCTTTGACAATTACATTAACTCCACTTTTTTGGTGGTTAGGCAGAGGGTTCTGTGCAACGTTGGGTGAATCTGAATTATTGAAATAGATCCAGTTCCTGTTGTGCATCTGTTGTATTATTCTTTTGAAGGTGAGGCAGTTCTCGATGGCATGTCTCGGAACTCCACCATGATATTCATAATATGAATTTCCATCATACCACTTGGGGTATGGGGGCTTTAAAGGTTCCACTAGATAAGGTGACACCACGTCCACGTCGAAGAGTTGTTGATAGAGTTCCTTATAAGTCATGGGAATAGGATTGAAATGTTCCCTCTTTCTTTTTTTCCTTGGTTCTCCTAAGTCTTGTTTAGAAGTACTTGTCGGTGCAACTACAATTGGTTTTGAATTACATACCGTAACACATTTGATAGTATTGAAAGCATTGACGTTATTGATCTCTCATTCTCTTTTCTTTATAGGATATCTTCTGCTAGACTCACATCCTTCAAATTTTCCTTGCTTAATGGTCGTTTCCACCATCTCCCAGGCCATAACCAAATCAAAGAAGTTTTCGAACATAATGGCAACTAAATGCCCGAAGTAAGGGCCTTCAAGGTATGTACAAAGAGCTTCCTTGTGTCTTTTCATCCAATGACAAATGAACTTACACAACCAAATCCCTTCATCATTGTGCATACTATTGGAAACTTTCGTTATGCTTCTTTTCCATGCCCTGTACCATAACACGATCCGGCCTCATATTGTTTATGTGCTTGTACTATTCCAAGAATGACTTGGCGAGATCTTTCCATGTTCAGATGTGTGAGCGGTTTAACTTATTGTACCACATGATAGCTGAACCTGACAAACTCTCCTGGAAGCAGTGAATCAGGAGTTGGTCATTTCCTACGTATCCTGTCATCTTTCGATAAAATATGATAATGTGAGTTGAAGGACAACTGTTCCCATCGAACTTTTCGAAGTCTGGGACTTTAAATTTTGGAAGAAGAATCAAATCTAGGACTAGGCTTAACTCTAAAACATCAACTCCATAATAGTCGTTGTTACCTTTAACTGTATTCATCTGGTCCTCCAACTGCTTGATATTTTCCTCCATTTTCTTTGCCTTGTCATCTTCATCGAAATTCAATATATGGTAGTCGTCTGAATTATTCTGAGGATTGGATATAGAAGTCTGTACTTTTACAGTAGACAAGGCTTGTGCTTTCGCAGTGGATGAGTCCCCTTGAAGTCCTGGTAGGATTCCCGGTGAGATAACCACCTGCGAGGTAGGTGGAACAGTTACTCCTTCATATGCCTTGCATTGGGAGTGCTTTTCTGATTCAAGCCAGATAACTTTGTAATCATTTGATCGACCAAAGATTTTTGGGTTTTAGTGATCGATTCCAGAGTGCTTTGATTATTCTGACTTATTTTTTCTTCAAGCTCCCTTTGTAACCTCATCATGTTCTCTTCGAGTTGAGTAAT